ATTGAGGGTGGCAATCCTCCAATTCAAGCACTGCAGGTGCTTAAGGTTCTTCGGTGCTTGCATCTCGAGCACGGCTTTGATCTTCTCAGGGTTGGCTTCGATTCCCCTGTTATTTACCATAAAGCCGAGGAATTTCTCAGAGGAGACCCCAAAAGCACACTTGGCAGGATTGAGTTTCATCTGGTACTTACGAAGTACCCCGAATGTCTCGGTCAGATCGGAAAGGTACGATCTGGCCTGCTTGCTCTTGACAAGCATGTCGTCCACATACACCTTCATATTGCGCCCGATCTGGTTGGCGAACATTTTGTTCACCATCCGTTGGTATGTCGGGCCCGTGTTTTTTAGGCCAAAAGGCATGACCTTATAACAATATAAGCCTTGGCAGTTAATAAACGAGGTGTGAGCTTGGTCGGGTTCGTACATCTTTATCTTATTGTACCTGGGGTAGGCATCCATGAAAGTGAGCAACTCGTGCCCGACCGTTCCATCTACGAGTTGATCGATCATTGGGAGTGGAAAACAATCTTTGGGGCATGCTTTGTTTAGGTTTGTGAAGTCCACACACATTCTCCACTTCCCATTAGATTTTTTAACTAAGACTACATTAGAGAGCCACTCGGAATACATAATTTCAGTTATATACTCGGCTTTCAAAAGCTTATTAACCTCCTCAACTATTACACCACTCCTCTCCTTATTTACAACTCTTCGTTTCTGCTTAACAGGTCGGAATGATGGGTCGATGTTGAGGCAGTGCACATATCCTCGTATCAATGTCAGACATGTCCTCGTGAGACCATGCGAACACATCCGAGTTAGACCTTAAGAAGGTGATGAGCTCTTCTCTGTCAGCAGCCCCCAACTTGGTGCCAATGTTCACCTGCTTCTCTGGGCTGAGCAGAGGGACAAGCTCTAGCTCTTCAATTGGTGCAACCACTTTGCGATGGTGCTCCTTTTGCTGCTCGATCTCGGCAAACAGAACTGGCTTGGTAGGCAAGGTTGCCTCTTCTTCCAAGGCACAGACTGTCGACCCTTTGCGTGCTGTGGTATAACACTCTCTTGATGTTTTCTACTCACCTCGGACCATACCGACCTTGTTCGGAGTTGGATACTTCAAAACCTGGTGAACAGTTGACGGAACGGCTTGAAGTACATGGATGATGGGTCGCCCAAAAATAGTGTTGTACGCCAACCTACCGTAAACACCATGAATTCGACCATGTTAGTGACTTGGGTATCTCCTTGGCCGATTGTGATAGGTAGATCAATGCACCCTTTGAGAGTGACAGTCCCCTGCGAATCCGAACAAAGGTGTTGGACTTTTCTTCAATTGAGCTCGGGTCCATCGCAACGCCACATAAGTTGTGAGCGATAGGATGTTGGCTAATGCACCCCCGTCGACGAGCACCCTTCTGACTTGGACATGGTCAATCAGGGGGGAAATCACCAACGCGTCATTGTGAGGCAAATGGACTCCCTCCAGGTTGAAGTCAGAAAGTGAGATAAGGGCAGGTCGGTCGTTGCACATAGGAAGTAGCATATTGGTGGAATCTTCCGAGCAGTGCATAACTTTTGAGCCGTTCCTCCTGGAATGGAGTTACATACTCCCTAAGGGTCTCGCCCTCCTTCTGTCGGATAGTGGTGAGATGGGTGGCTGTTTTTCGATCGTAGTGCCAAGAGAGAATTGGCTTATAAATTCTTTTCCCAGTTGGCTGTAGGTTGAGATCGACCTCGGCGGCAGCCTTTTGTACCAAAGACGTGCGCTTCCAGTCAAAGCGATCTGGAATGCCCAACACTTAATGGCATCCGAGGTCGCTTGAAAGTCCATGAGGCCTTTGAAGACTTTGACGTAATCTTTCAGATCCTTAGACCCATCATACAGTTTCATCGTGGGCATTTTGAACTTGGCAGGGATGGGTGCTTTGAGAATGTAAGCGGTGAATGGCGATTCGCCCATCTCGCCATCGTCAAACACACTATCCTTCTTCTCGCACCTTGATTTTAAAGCTTCGACGTGCGCGTTGAACTTGCTCTTTATCAAGTCGAACTCTTCTCTCGTGATCACTCCTTTCAGCACCAGCGGGTTATATCAAGATTGAGCTTTGAAATTCGAATTCCTTCGCAAGCGAGAATGAGAAACATCCTCACCTATAAATACAAAGTTCTTCTTCTTCTTGTCGGCCAGGTGCTTCCTCAAATCTCCCTCCTGACGACTGTAGTCGACCCTCCCATCATCTTCGGGGTACTAATCGTCGTCAGGGTGTAGAGAAGGATCCGGGTGCTCCCCTTTGCGAGGTTGATCGTCCCTGTCCACTGGGACCCTAGACTGAGACCCTACACAATTGGCTTGTGTCATTTCATTGTAGGTTTCTTCCATCGTGCGCACCTGATTGCGCATGTCATCGAGCTCGCGATGGAAGGCGACGATGACGTCAGGATCTATAGTAGGGGTAGACTTACGTGAAGTTCTGTTCGATGTCCCACCACGGCCATCGTGGGCCTTAGTTTGTCACAGATGAGCGAGAGGTAGGGTCGTGTTGGTGTGACGAGCCGACCTACAAGGTCGGTCATCACCCTGCCTTCCTTGAACATCATCTCCACTACTTTAGCATCAACCTCACACTGGAAGCCATTGTTACCGTTTAATCCGCGACGGTCCGCAGAGTTAACAGACACATCAGGCTGGACCACCTCGGTTTAGTTTTGTAACAGCACAGAGGTGGAACTGCCGAATTAAATGAATTTTATCTTTGGAAAATATCCGTCCTCCACGTGGCGTCACAATTTCTTCCACCAAACAAAGTATATACAAAACTGAATCAATTAAAACTCCTAACTATGAATTAAAATTCAAATCTTGCTTAAGTTGCATCATTTTTTAATTAGTTTATACCCTCTATTGAATTTTATTAGAAAATCATTAGTTAAAGTGTGGTTGCATATATGAAGGATGTCATTTTCGTTTTATTTTACATTAAGGAGAGAGAAAGAAACGTAAGTTGTATAGATATGGATCATTTGCATCCCCATTATACTAAACAACAATATCATCGAGTTTATTGTAGCTAAAAACAATGACTGCTCACTTATTACATTCTCCACCACAATTTGAAGATACCAAAAAGAATGGATATGACATTGGTATGCTCCTCGCTGCAAGGAAATTCCCCCAATGCATACACCAACAGCTCTATCCTATCTCTTACTGTGTACATTCTAAACACTTTACTCTCTCCTAAGACATAGGACGCCGTGAATGCTAGAAAAATAAGGTTAAGAAAAGAAACGAGAGTGCTAGCCGTAAATAACATGATGAATGTAGCAAGTTTATTATATTTAGAGATTCCATTACTCTCCTCTAAAACTATGTTGTTATATTTCTACTATTGCCAATGGAGGGATTTCACTGCCATCGCGAATTTGTTCTTGGCAACATAGTTTTGTCCGACTCCATCGTAGAGCCACCACAAGAGTTACGTTCAACATGACTTTTCATTATAATATGATTTGATTCACACACATTATTTTGGAACTATTTTAAGTTTTCTTCCAACAATTTTCTTAACCATAGTTTTCCCTTCTATTTTGATACTAAATATAAAAGAGTAGGCCATGTGAACCTTCAATTTTAACTATCTTCAATTCAAACTATTCTATGTTTTATATTTTAAAAAATAAGATTAAGCTACAACTTTAGGTCTTAATGTTTTAGAGTTGTATCTAAAAACGTTCAATTTTATACTCATGTTTATTAGACACACATTAAAATTTGTGTCTAATATATTTGTAAAATTTTTAAAAATGTCAAACAGGTCAAATAACTATTTACAAAACAATTGAAATTCTCGAGATTTTTTTTTTTATGAGTATAACATGTGGAGGTGGGGGACCGAACTTACAACCTATTAATTGAAGTTATATGTCAGTTACCATATTGAGATATGCTCGCTTTTGACTAAATTTCCAGGACTTATTAGACACAAACTTGAAATTACAAAGCCTATTAAACACTCTAAAATTCAAAAATCTTTTAGATCACCCTGAAATTTTAGAGAATACAAATGTAATTTAACCTAAAAATAATTAGTATCGGAAAAAACAATACAATCGTTTTTGGTGGTATAAATAATTTGAGAAAACAATTACTCAAAATAGTGAAAGACATCATTTTGCGATCTTCCACTTCATATTTTGATTGAAGAAATTTTTAGATTTAAATATTATTTTAGTCCCTATCCTGCTTTTGACTGGATCATTTTGATTCATGTACTTTCAAAACATTTATTTTTAATCTCTATGTACTTTTACAAAGTGACCAATTTGTGGTTCTTTCTGCAAAATTTTAACATAAATTTTTATAGTGGAGTGTCATGCTAAAATTATTATGGAAAGAAATGATACAAAAATAAAAATGAAATGATCAAAGTAGTCACTTTTTAAATATCCAGAGACATAGATAGATATTTTAAAAGTACAGAGACCAAAATGAACAAAAATTGAAAATACAGAAACGTTTTAAAAGTATATGAACCACAATAATATTTAAAACAAAAATTTTAATATAGAAAAGCACCTCTAATGGTCTTTAATGGGTCCAAAAAAAGGATCCTCAATGTCCATAACTTTCGAGAACCGGTTTCAAGTATATGAACCACAATAATATTTAAAACAAAAATTTTAATGTAGAAAAGCACCTCTAATGATCTTTAATGGGTCAAAAAAAGGATCCTCAATGGATAAACCATAGCTTTCGAGAACCGGTTTCAATGGCTGATTAGAGGAAGAAGTTGAAGTCATTTTGCAACTTTTGATTGCTGGATTTACCAATCTCTTTCCGAAGAGGCAAGTACACTACAATGGATGTAAATTTATACGACAAATAAAACTAAAAAGTTTAGAAAACAAAAAACAAAAAAAAAACTTGAATATACCGTTGAACTATACTAAAGTCGGATAACTTCATTATCACATATAGATCTGAGTCCGAATACGCATCGTTTTATTGGGAAAAATCAAGAGTTATTATAATCATTTATTTATTTTTTCGAGATTTATCCGAGATTGACTTCGTCTGGTCACGATTATCTACATGACAAACAAGCTTACAATGGACATTATTTACAATAGAGTTAAAATGGTAAAAAGAGATTCTTAAACATCAAATAATCTCAAAGCTTGTGCCGCCTCCAAATTTATGAGCTTTTCTTACCTGAAAATGAACAGAGCTACGAATTCCCAAGTTACTTGAACAGATCCTCTACTTGCTTCTTGTAGGGAGCAGGAACTTTGTCTCTTCGAACCTTCAACGTTAAGCCGTTTTCGATCTGTAATTCAATAAGTAAAAGAAGTTGATGAAAAGGATGGGGCAAAATGCAAGTTTTTAGACCTTACTAGCAATTATGTTGAGCTAACGAGCTCAATAACAGATGATGGTGAGCAAGAATTTCATACCGTGAATGGTTCATTGACAATGAGGATTGGTCCAATTTGAAAGGGACAATCTGAGGTCCTGCATGAAATCGAAACATTATATTGCAATCGACAAGCTTTCGTTCTTCTTACCGGACTGAAAACTTACTCAATTGCTAAAGATAAACATAAGAACACCACAAATATTTATGGGAATTCAAAAACTTCTAAGATTTAGATGGGTTTCTAAGCAAAATAAAGTTCCCAAAGCAGTTCAACGCCACAGGAGAAATCATTTTGTACAGGAAAAAAAAAAAAAACCCTTTGACTGTTATGAAATAAATAATGCCAAGTGGAAACGTAAACTAAACTACAACAAATGCAAAATATAGCAAGAGAATAAATAGAATTTACGTGATTCAACCAATAAGCCTACATCCACGAAGAATATAAGATAAGGTTTTTCTATTAATATCCAAACAGGATTAAGAAGACATGCTCAAGTACCTACCAAATACTCCATTCACTTAAATATTGAAACTGAATAATAAAAGATAAAAGATTTTTTTTYTCTTTTTTCATTTTTTGAGTCGAGGGATACAAATTTTTGACTTTTTAGTCGATGATATATGTCTTAACCAATTGAGCTATGTCCAGGCTTACAGATAAAGAGTTATAAGATAGAAAACAACCTCTTCTTCTGAAAAGATTTTTTATCCAACAATTTTCCTACTTTTTCCATAGCTTTGATATCCTTAGAATGCTAGAAATTTGCGAAGAAACTTAAAGTCTTACCACTTTCTTACTTCACTATAAATCATGTTTGTAAGTGTTTCGTTGCTAAGATCAGAGAAACTAGAATCTTACAGCAGACACATCTTTTGCTGTAGATAACACTTCTTCCTTGTTGAGAACTATAATCGCTCCTAGTCGTCGTTGGTCCTGGACAAGTTAAAGTCGGTGGGAAAATAAGAAGAGGTAGTTCAGGAAAGCAAGCAACATCTATTATACACAAACTATAATTAATAATAGAACTGCACCTGGCCTACAACCACAATCTGTTGAATGAGACTACTTCTCATAGCAGCTTCTTCGAGAACCATTGGTTCAACATTTTCACCTATTTTCACCAAGAAATATAATTTTGAAAATACGAAAAAAGATTACCAAGAGTTACCAATGAAGTAAACTTACCGGAAAGCTGTTTCCCTAGAAATAAAATTGGGTGGGTGGGGGAGGATCAATGAAAATTTTAGCATACTTGAGAAAACTGATTGCAAGCAAAATTTGACTGGATGAATGACAAATTTATTAAGATAAGAACTAGATTAAAAATTCAAGTCACCTATTTTCAATTCACCATAAAATAGTATTGGATGACGTAGAGACTAAGGTTGGAGAGAATCCAATGTTCTGTATTCTCATTATTAAAGTCTATATATATAGACAAATATACAAGGTTGATCTAATCCTATAAGGAGAAGGTAAATGACAAATTAATATTAACACAAGAATATAAAATATACTATTATATACTCTAACACTCCCCCTCAAGTTGGTGCATATATGTTAATCATGCCCAACTTGTTGGACAAATAATCTATTCGTGCTTCATTCAATGATTTAGTAAACATATCTCCTAGCTGATGTCTAGTCTTCACATACCCTGTAGCCACCAATCCTTGCTGTATTTTCTCACGTACATAATGACAATCAACTTCAATGTGTTTGGTTCGTTCATGAA